TGTGTATAGGGATTGCACATGTGGGGGGGTACCTCTCGGTTTCATTTCTTGCCGGGTATATTTTTTTTACCCATGCTGCCTTGCAGACAGCATACATGTATCATACAAGACCTGCCTTTGCGAAAAATTTCATTCAAATGGGTATATAGCACTACACTGCGGTATGCACCACTGTAAAATCATGTTAAGTAATCGTTCAGGGAAACAGTGTAATGCAGGCCCAGTGACAGAAATACCAAGAAAATTCAAGGTGGTCTTGAACTTTTGCAAATAACTGTACTGTATGTGAATGAAGTACAGGTACTACGGCTAGCCTAGTTTGTGGTAGATTCTACCTTTTCTGCTTCATTGGAAAGTATTGCATGTAAGCATGTGGGCAAACTACTGTATGAGATGTTTTGGTTTGTTGCAAATGACGGAATTTAGTGTGATACATGTATTTAATATAACCAGTGGTTTGACTGCAAAGCAATGTTACAGAACTTGCTGTAATACATTTGTAAATTGAGAACAATGAATACTATATTGTAAGTCCGTTTAGCATGAACAAGTAAAATTAAAACACCACACATCTCAGAGCCTAGCAAAATTAAAATCTCGGTACATGTATTTTTGTCCCACTTTTTTTCTCCAGGATGAGAGGTTTTCAACCAAATGTTTTTTGTCTTAAAAGCGTAAGAAAATATACATGTAACTGCATAGCGGTGGCTGTTTTTTCTGAAAAGTTGTAACTGTGTTTTATAAACTCGTACTGAAAAACGTCACTCTTTGGCCTCGCAGTCTGCTACACTATCCCTTCTAATTTTATCATTGGACTACTCAAAAAACAGGAAAACACATATCAATCTGCTTGATAGTGACAAATTAATGCACATTTGTCCCCCCTCATATATTTATGTCATGTACTTTTATTTGTTGGTACATGTGTTTCTGTAAGGACCCAGATGCACCTGTTCATTTTTGCTTGATTGCAACATCAAGCTTTCTGAGCACCTTTCACTGATCCACTAGCTTGAAAAACATAAGAATGCATTGGCTTAATGAACATCTGGAGCTGTCTTGTTAATGATGTCAGTTGGGAACAGTTCCAATGCTAAGAAAGGTATGGGTCTGTACTTAATGAATGAGCATCGTCCCTGACTTCATGTTTAGTACGTCATCAGCTCTTGTCAGTGCTTCTGTGTGTAGACATTACATTGTTTTTTTCCTGCACCAAGTCAGGAAAGCCCTGTAGTGCCATCAAGTATATATTTTCAAAAAGTGAAGTATATATTTTTGAAACTCATTTTCATGAAATACACTTTTTTCAACTTTGATTTTAAAGATTTGTTTTTTCCAAAGTTCACTTATACAGTACACTGTATGTACATGTATTCTTGAGTTTGCTCTTATGATATCTGTTTTTAGACACTTTCTTTTTATTGTTTGAAATAAATCGGTTTTATGAGATATATGTTTTTTTATCATTTTTTTATGAAATTGATTTTTTTCCAAATGTATTAAGAAACAAACTTTGATTTATATCTCATAAAACAAACTTGGAAAAAACATACACTGTACTAATAACTCGTCAAAACAAACTACAGAAATATATCTCATTAAAAAACTTTGAAAAATATCTCTTAGAAATGATTTGTTTCCAAAAATAAAAAACAGTGGTTCTAAGTATACATTTAGATCTCAGAACAAACTGGAGAATACATGTGTATATCTCAACATGTGAATCTTGGAAAATATATATTTCATAAAATACATTCACTTTTGTATTTGCTAGCACCACAAGGCTTTTGTTCGTAGTAAAGCTATCTGTGATTTGGTCCTTCAATATGAGCAGAAATGAGCCTCTTGTGAAACTCCCAACAACCTTGTTCTAAAGGTGTTTGACCTTGTTCACAATCTTTGACCCTGTCATTGGATTTTGCTGAATGGGTTGTACTGGTGAGCATCCAGGCATTGACATAATAGATTTACATGTATCTTGCAGTCAGTCACCTTCACTAAAATGTATACACCAGAATTTCCTCAGATCAAAATATGTACTGTGTGAATAGGCAATACAGCATAAATACTTACCCTGTTTATTGTCTAATCTGAAAATGATGTGAATGTTGGGATTTTTTTCTATTAAACAAATGTGAAATTTGGAACAATGTACCAGTACCAACATACATGTACGTGTTTCTCTGTAAGATAAAATGATCTTGAAAAATGTCCAGGCCTATTTTTGAGTAATACAGTCTGCCCTTTTCACTGTGAATAGTGTTCCCTAAACTTCCATCTGATTGCTTCCTTTGTTAGCGGTAGTTTTTTTTTCCTTTTTATATATATTCCCCCCCCCCTCATTTCCCCTTTTCACCGTTTCCTTCATCCCTACATGTATTTATGAAGGTGAAAGGGTTATCAGTATCTGACAAGCATCCTACCACAGACAGCAAGGGTGCGGGCCACCAAGTACATGTACAAGGCATGCATGTTATGGATAATGTCCAGGAGTATCTTGGGACATTTTTTGGTTGGGGGGAGGACTTCCTTGAGCTTTTGTCACTTTACCCAGATCAGGCCAGAGAGTTCATGTTTGAATTGTAATTTAGCATACATGTACATGTACGGCATGTACATGGTGTTGGTAGCTTTTATGTACAAAAAATGCACAGCCTTGCTGTGATGGGGATCAAACCTACGTGTACATGTAACAGGTATAAGCCTTGCATTGCCAACTGAAATTCTCCAGTTGGTGGGGAAATTCCTATGCACTTCATCAGCAGTCACCATTTGATGGCATTTCTAATCAGGATAAAGTGGATGTTGGCATCCTAATGGAAAGTGCGTGGTTGACAGTTTCTCGCGAAGCCACCCGTCAACCGGTTCCTACCGGTATATACAACCAAATAGAAGCTTGAACAGGCAGTTTTAGCTTATTCAAAATTTACAAGGCCACAATTTTTCTTTCATTTTTTCATTTAACGTTTGTGAAAATATCTTCGTTTCCTTCCAAAATACATGTACTGAGTTACATGTAGGGGAAATGTTGCCTCTGCTTGTACAAAAAAAAATTTCCTGGGCTGGGAAGGGACAGACAGATCTTTCAACTCTGGTGGTTGAGAAATGGTTGATCGTCCTGGCTAATTTACAGTCTACACCCCCATATTGAACATGATTCTTTTTATGGCCTTGAAGTTAACATGTAAATAACTTTTGGGAGGCCATTTGTTTGATAAGATTTGAAGTTTTTAATGTTGAAGGGGGCAAGATGAAGGTGGTAATATGTACAAGGACTTACCTTCGGCCACCATAGTATCTGTAGACTACATGTATGTGTACATGTATTTAAAAATATGAGACTCTTTAGAAGCTCAGTGGCGGCAAATATATTGGTCCTTTTCTATCATTTGCATTACATTTGAGCTCATGTGTGCATTCTCAAAATGATGCAAACACTAGAAAAGGATCATTATGGTGACCTCCACTACATGTAAATGTCTTGAAATTCTTGAAAGTTGTACATTTGCATACTCCAAAGTGAACGCATGTATACCTGAAGTGGTGACTTATGAGACATTTCTATAATGGAAGGGTGCTTCAGTGCCATTTTCCACATTGCACACATGCTCCTTCCATGCAAAGATGGTATGCTTTGTGCTCATTCAATTGAAAACTACATACATAGTCATTATTCCTTCAAAATCTGCTGGCTTGTACAAGGCTTCAAAAGTTGGGATGATGTGAACAGACCTTCTGAAAGCCTGTTTGTCATGTGTTTGTCCTGCAGTAAAACAACCCAGCAAAGATCCACCTCCAGACAACACGCCATGCAAAGTCTGTGGTGATACGTCCTCTGGTATCCATTTTGGGGTGTTCACATGCGAAGGATGCAAGGTAACCATGAATATAAATCAACCTGAGAGCCGGTGCATTGTCCCATTGTTCATCTTGAAGTGACAAAGTGCCGTATCATCAGCATGCAGATTATCTCTCAGAGTGACCTTCGAATTACCTGATTCATACTTACCCCTTATTGAACATAAACATGTTTTTGACGAGTTTAGTTGCAACTCATGTATTGTACATGAATTTGGTATTTCATAGTAGTAAAGTAGTTTTCCCCATGTTGCAATTGGTACAATTAGCAAGTAACCAAAGATGATAAAAATACTCTTTCCTAAACATAATAAGAAGCATGCAGGTCCATAAATGACTTGTCGCAGTAGAATCATGTCAGTGCAGCTTGTGAGATATTGACCAATACAAAATGGACACTGGACTTTCAAAATCTGAGACAAACAAAACTGAACATTCAAATCCCATGGTGTTGTCTAAGGGGCGTGTCTCACTTGCAAACAGTGATTGATCAGTACCTTTCCAGATGAGAGACAGGATGAGAATTTAAAGTTTGAATTTGCGAGGAAGGTCTCCATGAGTCAATCATAAGTCGTCATGTATTGTCTCGGGTCACAAGCTATTCCAGTGAACCAGGGCCCCTTATTTTGTCATTGCCGATATTCGTTTTTTATTTTCAGTCGTCAAGCTGAAGCCTGTATCTGCTGTATTGTAAAATCTGTACAGCCTCAAGCCAGTCATGCCCTGCATTAACCTCACTGTCATCCATTTCTCTCACCTTTGCAGGGGTTTTTCCGTCGAAGTTTAAAGGACGGGGCCTCTTATGTTTGCGGTGACAACAAGAAGTGCATAATCACTCCGACCTCCCGTAACGTCTGCCGATATTGCCGCTATCAGAAATGCCTGCAGGTTGGCATGTCTAGACAAAGTAAGTTAATGTGCACCATAGGCCTTTACATTGGTCCAGTCACAGTCTTCCTTGTATGGCATTTCTGTGGTGTGCACCTTAAAAAATCATAAAAACTAGGGTGACTGCTAAACAAACAGTTGTTGAAATTCAGCACATGAAATACTGACATTTAGGTTGACATAATGCAACTTACTTTATTCATGTGCAAATGTGCGTTAACAGCAACCTTTTTGCAAAAAACCATGTTCATATTTGTTCTATTAATATTTTTTCTCGTACAGAAAAGAAATTTTCGTCAATTGCCAAAGTTCTGAAAAACAAACTACAAACTTTTCTTAGCACATAGTATTTTTGATGGAGCCTTTCTTTTTCTGCAGGCATTAAGCTTGGCCGGCATCACAAATTAGACATGGACATCTCAGAAAGCTGTAGCGAAATGTCTGAGGTATCACAACAGTTGAATGCCGTCAGTGCTGGGGGCTGCTGCCCGAACAACGCCTTTGATAGTGAGGAAACAGTGATGGAAGTGAAATCTACATCGCCACCGCCTGAAGTATCAGGAGTCAGTGAGCCAATGGCTGTCCCAGGGGAATTTGACAAGGGGTTTGGCGATGGAAGCTCCCATTTAATGGACTTTAAATCGGGGCAGCCAGTTAGCCAAAGCCCCCCAATGCCTATGGTCACCTCGCAGATGAGCACGGCATTTGTGGGCGGAGGCTTGGGCTGTGAAAATAAGCAGAAATTGGGCAATGCGGGGTTTCCCAAGAATGTTCCCATTCTGGGCAGACACCCGCACCCCCGGGTATGTCCACAGTTACCCGTTGGGTCACTTGAACCACTCGGTAGTCTACCAACCAGCAATGTCCCCAGCTCTACAGTCATTTGTTCTATCCAGCACCCTTCTGTAAGTTTGGTGCAGTCCACCCCAGATGGTAATGCCTTCTCCCCCATGCCTTCTGGAGGCTCAGGCTTTCCCTTTGGACATAATTTCTTTGACGGCCAGCTGCACCCTGCTGCTGCTACCAGCTTACCAGGACACGGGGCATCAGGCAGCCAGTCTATGCCTACTGCGGCTGCTTTTAGGTTTGGCATCAGCCAGAGCCACTCGCCGTCACTTTCCCTCCAGGCAAGAGGAGATCATGAGATGAGCAATAAAGAATGCACAGAAAGCTTGTTGGCAACCTCTCCAGGCAGGCCCATTATGAATGTAGATGCCTGTCAGCCACTGAACCCACACCAGGACAATATGGGTAAGCCGTTTGCCATGATGGACACCGATTCAGGTGCTGCGCCTTCCTTGCGAATCAAAGAGGAGCCCAGCAGTTGCTACGCTGAGGAGGCTTTCAAAAGACAGCGCGACCCGGAAACCATGAGTAAAGTTTCCACTCCAAACCCAAGCCGAGTCGCCGGCAAGCACGCCCTGAGCGATGACAGCGAGGACGAGAGCGACGAGCAGTTGCCAAGTGCCAAGATAGCGCCGGCCGCACAGATGCTACAGCAGGAGCAGGAAGAGGGGACCTCCTCCAGCCTGGCTTATGCCAAGAAGATTGCGCGGCGTCTTGAGCTGGGGTGCCTCCAGGGGGAGATCCTGAGTGAGGAGAATGAGCTGAAGCTGAACAGGACCTCACAGCCGGTGCAGAAATTTGAGCGGGTTTTGATCACTGTTGAGATGACGCAGGCATTTGAGGAGCTGGCATTGTTGTTCCAGACGATGTTTAATTCAAAGCCACAAATAGAAGCAACAGAAGAGGTGAGTGCAGTTCTTTTAGAGAAGGTACATGCAATCAACCTTTCTTTGACATCCTATGTAGGGTACAGTGCACCAGAAAGTAGAAAAATTTTCATTCATTGTTAACCCTAACCTCCACAGTCGTCCAAAATCCATCAGGCGGTTTAGAGGATTTTGGAGGGTGAATGGCAAATGTGCATGTGCATGGCTGATTGCGAAGGATGCCATGAGTGAACATCATGGGTTCAGACCTTGTGTATTTCTTGCTCAGTCATGCATAAATTCAGCCCAATATTTCTTTTGAATCAACCGCACTGCTCAAGAATGCCATTTGCACTGCCTCAACATAATGACAGGATTTGCCAGATTTTGAAGGATTGAGGCTGTAGGTACACCTCCAAGTAATGTTTTCAAGAAATTTTGGTGGATTCCAGAGGATTGAGGGAGAATCCAATTTTTTCACCCCCAAAATTCTAGGATTCTGGAGGATTGAGGAGGGTCCATAACAAAAAGCGTCTAGGGGGTTAAGGTTAAAATGCAAATGTCCTGTATCGTCAAATCACATACATGTATGCATTATTCAGTTATTGCTCAAAATATTGAATGTACACAACCTATGTCATGGCACCGGTACAATACTTTGAGTGGCCCCTTGGAAAACACACGTGTAACTGCACCCCTGGGTACTCTGAGAAATTTCACCCCTGCTACACTACTGCTACAGGTATTGAGCATTGCACTCAGTAATGAGAAGGCAGCATATGACTGCCACCTTATCTGTGTACAAGTGATACTTATATGCCAGATTATTGTGCAGGAATTTAATCAGTAGCTGGGGCTGCTTCCCTTAACAAATGTGTTTGGTACAGGTGCACCCATACATGTATATAACCAAGTACTCTTCGTACTGTGTATGCACGGTGTACATGTACAGTGTACATTGACATGCATGATTTAATATTATTTCGGTTATTTAAAGACATGCACACCCATGAAGATACATGTAATTGGCAGGATTTGAAAAGGTTGGTTGTTATGTAAACTGGCAAATAACTTTCTTGAACACGTACATCTTGTTCTTTCTCAAAAATATTCAAGGCAGATCCTAGTGTTTCTCAGAAACATAAATCGCCTTAGCTTAAATGGAATTTATTCTGTCCAGTACCCGACAGTGTTGTAGACATTCATTCAAGACCTTTCACTAGACCTGAAACAAATAACAGGGTGCTGAATGACAAAGAAATGCCCAAAGAATGATGCAAAGTACATGTACGTGTACGAGTGTTTGTAGAATTGCAAGATACCCATGATAATTTCACCTTTTTATTCAGTACAACAAGTACAGTGTACCGGTATCTCAGCTAGAAGAAGTATTATACTCTTCAAAGTACATACATGTACAGTATTGATGTGGGTGGTGTATAGATGGCTCTTCAATATTTCTTGGTTTTCGTCTTTTGTATATTTCTAGTTACGCACAAAGATGGATAAAGCTTCCCCTGAGTCCATGCGGTTGTTTCAGGAGAGTATTTCCCTCAAAATCATTGGCTCAGTCACCTTCGCAAAGAATATTCCTGGTGAGTGAAACTGAGATTGCATTTAACTGTGGAAATATGGAAGGTACTGTAAAATACATGTACTACCATATTATAATTGATTGACGTATACCGTACAGGTACTTCATCGGGTTTCCTGGTTATTGAGGAGAAGACAGAGAAAACGAGGGGAACCCTCGCCCTGTGTTCGTAGTTGTTATACCTTTGTGCATGCCAAACAATGGCCATATGCATTGTTTGGCATGCACAAGGGTTTATCTACCATGAACCCAGGGCGAGGGTTCCCCTCGTTTTCTCAGTGGTCTCCTCAGTGACGCAATCTACTGGTACATTTAGAATTTGCATCTTGGCATGAACAGAAAAGAAGCCCTTTTACGCTTGTTTTAGTTGAGCTTTCAAGACAAATGACACTGCGTTCCATTTGGATGCTTCCATATTTATTTGAACAGATAAAAATCAGAGATAATAGGTTTTAATTAGAGCTGCTGTATAGTATACCAAATGACTGTTTGAACAGTTTGTGGAAACCGAAAATGCCTGCTGCACAGAAAAGTCTTTTGCACTTTAAATTTAAACGTGGTGAGCAACCACCAGGAAGTGCAAGTTTCTGTTAAATTTGATTCATACTAAATTCAGAGGCCAGACCTTCTGTTCATGTACCGGTATGTGTAATTCTGGACAGAGTGTCTGCTCTTAGATATGTATGCAACCGTACGTATGAAGCCAAACCGCGATGGTTGTGTTTGTATTGCACATGCCCAGTGTGTATTAGACTTGGGTTGCAGCCGTTCATCGTTATATCAACAGTAAAAACACCATTAATTTGTGTGAATTGTGGTAGTCAAGCGGTTGTGATGCATGGGGTATGGGTTCGAATCACGGGTCGGAATTATGGACAGGGAGGTTTTTTTAAAGGAAAATAAAGCTCGAATGTTATTAGAGCCTAATTTCACACGTGAAGTTTTTATGGTTGAGCATCTAGATGTCATGCATTGTGCATGGTTGTGAACCTTGGTTTGGCTTCATACGTGTGATTGCATATATAGCTCCTGCTCTTAGCGGGAACAAGAGAGGGCGTGTTTTTACATGGAAATGGTGGTCCTTCAGTGGGAACTCCCCATGTGAGCGTGTGGGTTCGTGCACATCTGGCGTGGGATGTACTGAACGCACTCAAGCAATATACCAGTACATGCGTGTTGGAATGGATGGTTCTCACATACATGTATGCACCAGGTGGGCACATGTACATGAGGTCAATTGAAACACTGCCCACCGGTCTGTCTCTCCTTTGTCTGTGAGGGTGCTCTTCAACTCAGAGTGGGTACTGTCAGTAATGGAACTGGTTGGTCAGAGTCATCAAGTACATGTACAGCAAAGCCTGTTTTGTTTAAGAGATACTGGTAAATTATACATGTATGTCTGTGATCCATGTTGTGAAACCTTGTTGTGAGCTGCATGTGGCTCAACCTCAATCTTTCCAAGGATACATGTAAATACATATAATTCTGCCAGTACTGGTAAGGAAATGAAAAGGTTTTTTTCTTCTTTAATGTTTTAACGACCACTTGGAGACATATTTTTGATGTTTTAATTTATAAGAACAGTCAGACTTTAAGATGGAAGGAGATTTGTTGTTCATTTTTCCATAAATCCATCCTTTCCATTTCAAGAGCCAAACTCCTATATACAGTAGTTCTCTGCATGCAAAGGTATCTGCTCTCCAATGCGTGGCGCAGCATCTTCTTGTACGGAATGTCGGAATTTTAAGATTCCTAGTTCATTTGAATTTTTTTGTTTTAATTGGAGATTCTGTGCTCAAAGTGTGTACCAATTGGAACAGATGTCCAGGATTACCGTTTATTACCAAACTATTGGTTATGAGATGAGTGAGTTTTCGTGATTTTAGTGCAGGTTACAATCTGAGACAAACCCCCTTACCTGTACAAATTGTGTGATACCCCTTAATTTGTCCTTCTTTTCCCACCTCCCTCCTGTCTTTCCTCCCCTACCCCTCTGTTCGCTTAGGGTTCCGTCACATATCCGTCAATGACCAGATGAACCTGATCAAGGCGGGCACCTTCCCCTGCATCCTGTGTCAACTCTGCTGGCAGGGGTGCATGTTCTCCTGGTTTGATGACACCTTCTTCACTGTTCCCTCACTGATCAAACTGGTCTGCGGCATGAAGACCAGCTGCTACAGCTTCAGGGAAGACTTCACCAAGTTGACCTTTGACCAGGAGGAGATTGCTCTCTTCACGGCTCTCATCTTCATCAATCCAGGTGTGACCTCAACCACCACATTCTTTGAGGAGCTCAGCCGCTGATTTGTAACATACCTTGCACCTGTGCGCTAATATTAAAGACCGGCCCATCCTGGATGTGAATGCGAATGATGTGAAATGCAAATTGCCTCAAGAAATATTCACTTAGAAACTTCACCTGAAGTGAACTTAAATATGTTGAGGCAGTGCTAATATCCCATATTAATTCTGCTTCAGTGGCAGCAATGTCCTTTCACCTACATTTTCAGTATTTCCTTTGAATGAGTACAACCATCCTGGAAGGGGGGGTCATTGTCCTGGATTTCTTCTGATATTTGTCAAGATGTCTTAAAAGTGTTGGATTCAGAGTGGTATACCAGAAGGGATTCTAACAAGAGAGGATTGATAAAAAACATATAGCGCATTAGACAATTCTGACCAACCAGGGACCCTTTTTTTGTTTCTGTCTGGCGTAGATAACCCTGGCCTAGATGATGTGGAGTTCATCCTGGGTCTGCATGGTAAACTACGTCAGGTCTTCAAGCACTACTGTCTTGGTAAGGCAGACACTGTAGGTCTTTTTTTGTCAGGTTGGCTGACTTGTTAACGGTACATGTAGCTGTTTCAGTCACGGGCCAAAACAGCTTTTGTTTTTCTTAAGATTGTTTTGGGTTTTTTTGTGTGTGTCTATTGAGATAACACAGGGTCGTTCTACACATGACTTTCGGTCCTCGCATTGGGCCGATTTCTTTCAACCCAGCACATTGTTAGACTGCCACCTGAAGATGTATGCTGAAACATGACATCATCATGGGGCGGATGATGTCATCAGACCGGAAGTTATAACGGAAAGACCTTAAAATCAATAAAAATCACAAAAAATCAATTCCACATGCGAAAGTCTACAATTGCCCATCGAAAGCTAGAGTAAATATCTGCATCCATTGTCTAAAGTGTTTTGCTCGTTGCATTGTTCATACATGCTGTGCGCGGCTGTTGAAAAATTGACACCCGCTGAAAATGCCAGCAATTCGACCCATAGGGTAAGAGCCGTAGTGGTAAGAGCCATACACTTTGTACATTGAAAGAGTGTAATGGAGGCCTGCTATTTCGGGGAATCTGGCAAAATTCCAAACACGTGGCAGGAAAGCATGTGAATGTATATTGTCACGCTCTACTGTCGCAAGGCGGGTAGTAGTCCCACAGAAATTTTGAACTACGGGACTGCGGACCTAACAACAGCTGTTCGATTCCCACCCGTTCCAACTCGTTTTTTATCAAACCAAAAGAGTTTCCTGAAACAGCTCAGTGTTTGTCCACCGACAAACACAACGTTTATCTCGTTTCTTGTTAGTTTCTGTTTAAATTTTGTTTTGTTAACCTTTTGGCTTTTTTGGGTAGTGGTGGGTACAGAAGTTCTGTGTTTACACCAAAATGTTTTCTTTACGTAGACTTTCGTTGCAGAAGTGGTTGTAAGTGTTGTCAATACTCAGAATGACCGAAAGTGTATTTCTGATGAGTTAAAATCAGAGATGTTGTCACGCTGTTAACGTATCACAAGCAATCCAATCCAAACTATATTGAGATGCATGAAACCACTTATCAGGAGAAAGAGGCAAATTAATGGAGTTTGAAATTTGACTGTAATTGTTAAACCCTGACATTTACAAATTTACGATTTGTCTCTATAAAATGCTACTCATCCTAATCTTCAGCAAAGAAACATGCCTCTCTCCACAACTGCAGTCTCTGTCCACCATTGGTGCCCTCCGAGCCCCGTTTAACATATCCTAATGTCGTATCTTTGTCTCAACTTCAAACCCCTCTCGCAGAAAAATACGGGGAACTGAAGCAGTACTTGAAATTCATCAGCTTCCTGCCCCGACTGTACCAGATTGAGCTCTTGCACAAGAAGAGCATCAAGGAGGGTTACAGCCAGCAGCCCTCCCCGGATGTCACCCTGCCCGCGCTCTTTGCTGAAATCAACCTGTAACCTGTGGCAGTGACCGAACTTACATGTAACAACTCCTTCAACATGGATTGAATCAGCTGTGTACATATGGTATATCCTTTGTTCGGTTGAGTGGGCTTCTCGGACAGAAAACAAGTAACAATGAACGGGCTCTTTTCTGAAATTTTGTTCCCGCGAAGAACAACTTCAAGTCTTTAAAAAATTGCTGTTTAAGGAGTCGCTTTGACCTGATGAGAGACTATTCTTTTCTGTTTAGTTTTTGTATAATTTGTTTTGAATTGCTGCCTTAATTGTCTATGTGTCTGGTCTTTGAGTAATGATCAGTCCGAGGAATAAAATTATTTTAATTTTCTAGTGAAGGAAAAAAGATCTTCATATTATATGCATATACTAATATTGCTTAGCATAAATACCAGCCCATAGCTTGATATGTGCAATATGGAATAGCTACTCTGCCGAATGGAATAAGTGGGGAGAATTTCATTTTGTTCATCATCATGAATATTTGCGAAAGTTTTGCCTTTTGGAACATGGAGAGTTCCTCAAATGTTAGATGTTTTACCTTTCTGAGGTAAAGAAGTCACGACTGACTGAGTAGAGGATGGACCGAAAGACATGGACTGAAAGAACAGGCGTGCACGATTCATCTCTGCTCAAGGGCTTCTCCAGGTTACAGGCAGAGAGGCAGCTGGGCTTGCTTGGAACTTTAATACTATTGAATGCCTGTTGTGCAGAGCATGCTGTAATCATGAAATTTATTGAAATGCAACAACATGAGAATATTTTGATGCAATTTCAAACATTCCATCGTAGAGGCAAATCCCATGCAATGAATAAATCTGTGTTAAAATTTGAATTTATTTAAAGGTATTCCCTTCTTTCTACAATGCATGTTGGGTAATCAATAAAATTGATTACCATAAATTTATTAAATCTGTATTATTTTGATATTTTTCTTTTCATTTTAGCTATTTTATCTTTCAGCTTCTACAAGTCTCCAAGAGCAGATCCAGCGCCATATTTTAAGGGAGGGCCCGACTTTTTTGGGGGGCGGGGGCAAAAAGATTGGGAAATTGCTTTGTGATTTGCAACTTACATGCTTTTGGAAGGAAGGGAAATTAAGTATTCCTTTGAAATTACCTTTCAGCTGTAAGGAGTGGTCATGTCCTACTCAGACAAAAAGGTACCCCTGTATCAGGCAGTGGTCCACAGCATAGGTATCAGGCAGTGGTCCACAGCATAGGTAT